CTGACCGTTCACTGACCCATCGCGAAGTTCATGTATATTATTGAATACATTCAGCAAGTGATGATTTTGCTGGAAAAAAACATCTAACCAATCGGTGAAACGATAAAAGAACCATAAATCACACGAGTAGAGTGAATATTTGGCTCATTAACACAGTGCCTAAAGCAAATGTCCGCTGATTAGTTAGGACAATAACCGATGTCAATGACCTATCTATATTCTATCTGTATACCTCATCCTTGGTAACTTGGTCCACTTACACGCTTATCCTAATTGTGACAATGGTTGTTGCGGCCCTGGACAATATGAGCCTGGGAATATATGTTCTTAGCATTCTATGACGTCCATGGGCCTTTGACAACCATAGTCAGCGGGATATTGGCGAATTAGACTAACACACATTTGCGAAGGTTGGATGCATTGGATGACATTATTGAGATTAACATGTTGGGTTTCTAAATTTGTATAAACAGATCCCATTCAAAAGAAGAGGCCATAGGGAATTGTAACATGCAACGGAAGAAGAAGTAGGATGTTGGGGTAGAAGTGGGGTTTGTCTCACGTAACACAAAGTGAATATTAACTTTAATGGTCACGCCAATCCCAGGTTATTATAAAATGATAGTTAATAGTCGTGGTAACCTGTACTAGGTTATTAATACCATGGAAGGTACTAACGGATTAGTTTTTAGTACCTTCCATGTTAATACCGTAGTCAGTGCCAACTCTGACTTAAATCGGTCACTGCGATTTTGCAGGGTCCTTGCCACCATACACATGACAATCAGCGTGGATAATCACTTGCTTACGATCAACAGCGAGTCCAGTTTTAGCAAGATTTAATGTGACGTCAAATTAACTTTAAATAAATACACAGTTTGAACTTGGTTAAAGTACTTTAAAAACATGTTGACTAGATTGCAAATAAACAATTGTTAATGTTGATGATTTCCTCGCTACGATAATAACTTTAATGCCAACTGGACGGCATTGAAGCGTTGACAACTTAGTCAGAATTGGTTTCAAATATAAAAGAATGTAACTGCGACCAACGAATTCGTAGACATTTCGACTAAACCGGCTAATTTGGGGGGGGGGGGTAGGTATTTCATCAAGGGGACGTGTTGATTGAGTTATAGCTCCGAAATGGATGATGCGGGTTGCTATGGTGCATTTGCGTACAGAAAGGTGCATACTATTTATTGGTGATATTACACAGTTAGAACCAACGCCTTAGTAGTTCCCAGTTATTTATTTATTCAACTTAAAATTTATACAATTCGGTGCAAAGGACAACGAATAAATCATGAGAAAAGCTTTTACTATAAATACATTGGTGTTTTAATTTTGTTCCACGCAATTAAATAGACAAACAGTTCAAATTAATTGTTTTACTCGTACGCACTTGAAACGGCCACGTTTTTTGATTAATTTTAAAACTCATGGTATTAGATACTGGTAGACCCACCACAAATATTTCGAGAATATCCAAAACTATGATAACAATGACTTTGTAATTTTGTTATCTGCATGTTTTCTTCTGAACAATTGCAAAATATAGAACTATATCCAAGCACTTACTTGCACGCGACTTTTGTCGTCACGATGTCGGTATTGAAAAGTACTCCCGTCCGCCATTGCGATGATGTAACGAAGTGACGTCATCATGTAATACCGTCTCTTAGTGTAATTCGCGACATATATTCAACACTAACGACAAAGAGTGACTTCACAAAATGGACATTTTAAAAAAATTGCAACACTGTTTTTTAATCATTGATGCTAATCAATGATGATCACGCAAATTCCTTTACAGATGATAACGTGTTCACACGTAGTGAACACGCAGGGCGTCGGTTAATCTATATTTGAATACAATCCCGGGTCAAACTATTTGCGTAACCTAATATGTGTAGTAAAATTGGTACAGCGGAAAGAAGGACACTAAACTGAAGGTCGCCGGGACTGGTCAGGTGTGTTTGTGCTTTACTGATCACGTCCAGTGCACGGGATTTGATTGCATGTGACAAAGGTGCTTGCAACATGTACTTCACCCTTCCCTCAATATCTTCGAATCGGGTCCCATACTCTGGCACCTTTTCAACGCATGGCAGGCATAATGGTTGTATTTGACCTGTCACGGTGGCGAGGAGTGATTCATCTGAAATGCGGGGGTGGGCTTGTAGCTGCCTTTCAGGAAAAAATAATCTAGCCAAAGAGGACATGGCAGATAAATATTATAACATCATAGAAAAAGTGACCAAATTACTTCATTATTATTTAAAGACTCCCTGTAATTTCAAAACAACGAGCTACGAACAACGCATGTTCAGTCATGTTGATGTGAAGTCCCCGCAACCATGTGTAGATAACTATACCGGAATAAGATTTTTAAGTCGCATAATAAGAATACATTAAGAATATATTATAAATAATTATAATTAGTGATACTAATATTTATAGTGTTGAGCGGTCGGGCGGGTGATGCCTGTTTGGTACCGTGACGGAAAGTCAGGGTGCGGGTTCGAGGCTACAGACAGAATAAAATGCAGAAACCGATTAAATAAATGAACAAAAGGAGATATACCAATATACACTATTACATATTTAAAAATATAAATTAAAATTGTCATTTCAGCTTTCAGAATGTATTGTCTATTCTTATAATTTCAACAGACCCAACGTTGAACACTATACATGGAGTCCGATATCATGTCCCAGCCGCTTTAGTGCTTTCAACTTAACCTTGTTAACCGCATTACCTACATCCAGGACCTCTATTTGAATTGCACGCATGTTGCGTGACCATGGCTACCCAATGACGGAAATCATTCTTTTTTTCATAACAACTACTTTGTCATGGTTGGTATGGCGTAGGTGTTTCGATGACAGCCAACCAAAATACTGCCGAAGAAAACATAGAGAAGTCGTACCTTTCCTCATTTGCAAACAATGGGGGGAGAAAGTATTGAAATGCAAAACAGTTTCACAATAACTGGGCACAAACAATACCTGTTGCTGTTGTAACCTAGAGGTTTTTTGTTCTTTTAATCACTTGTGCGCTAAAAATCAACCTTTTTCACCGTTCACGAAATAAAACCAAAATTAATTGTTCATTTTGTGTTTTTTTTTCATATTTGTTCCAAAAGAGTTGATAGCCAAGTGTAAATTACGTTCCTCTGGTTCAAAACTATTCATACATTTTTCGAGAACTACATACAAATAGACACAATTTTGATTGAAAAAAAACATTGGGCCCGAAAGGTTAAATAGCGGTGAACCAATTAATTATATTAAAGGAAAATGATATAAAGAATAAAAGTCTTTTGAACAGAACTTGGTGATTGAAAGGGAACATATTAACGGAAAAAATAATTTTCTATCATTTACTTCACACCGTATAGGAACACGTGCTAATAAATATTATAGTATACATTTTTTGATTATATATAAAATCACATACTTTGATCTCGACGAATTATTTCATACCTAATTATTACACGTACAAAACTCGTAGAATTATAATGTAGTATTCTAAATTCAAGTGGTGAGCTAAGCAATGACGAGAGGCCTCTTGGCGTATTGTTTTATAGTGTTTTTTAGAATAGTGGGTGAGGAAGAGGCGCCTACTAGTAGTCAACGTGTGCAATGTACACCGCATAACATACATTAAAAGATTGGTGTAAACGTTAACACGAATAACCACGCTGTTGATACGAACACCTTTTCTATTTTGTGAAATAGAACAAAATTATCATTTTGATTTTTAATTTCTTATACAGAGATGTTCGATATATCACAATCGGCGCGGAGACCGTCTGTGCATTTTTTTAAACCAAAAACAAATAAAACAGAAATATTATTACGCGTATGGCTATACTTCTAGCTCTTGAATTTATTTATTATGAACATTAGTAAAAACAGCGTAGCACAACACTTACTACACACTAAGTACCGGCACACCGTCAGTCGGAGTTAAAATATTTTGAACCCGATATGTCACGCTTACTAAAGTTGCGGCGTTCGCAGCTGTCATTTAGTACTTTCAAGTAGTTCGCCAACTTTTTTTTAAAACTGTTTAATTTGACGGTATCATGATATTATGTTTCATTTTAATTTCAACACATAAGTTATTTTCTTATATATACTTTAATTTAGGAATTAATATAAAGTAATACAAATACATGTATAAGGATGGGTATTAGAATCCTTCCTACCTCAAATATAGTTCAGCTCAAAGGACACAAACAAAACGAACTGGGGAGTAATAACGCTTAACCAGCAATGTTGCTAGAAATTTCTATGTGATTGCAAAAGCTGTATCAAAGACCATCTCTAAATTTATTTTGGTATTTTTTTGCGACCTTTGATGGCCAATCTGTTTATTTCTTTCTGTCTATTGTTTCATGCAACCGATTCACTGAATGTGCACGTGAATGAGAGCTTCTGATTGGACGATTTCGGAAACGCTTAGCCTAGCGCACGTGTTCAGAGATTGGACCCCTTTTCGTGAACAACACGCCCATCTATCACTTATTGATGATTTTTATATGAAACATGACAATGTTGTGCAAGTTTTATTTCAAAATACGACTTCCGGGCATTGTCCCTTCCCCCTGATCACGCCGATGCTGAAAGGAAGCTAAACACGAGCTCCAATGTTCAACTACTAATTTGACGGGAGACCATATACCTAACGTGTTTTTGCCTAATTTATCTATAAACAAAATTTTATCAAAAGTTAAGTGCTAACTGATAATAAAAAATACAACTCAACAAATTTACACCGCATTGAAAACTGCAAATCAATATGTTGTTATCGTCAACAGGACCACGAGATAGCCTCTTGTTTACGGAGTCCTTGAGGTGTTTACGGAGTGTGAACATTGACCAATCACACGGCCCCGTTCTGCGCAGCTACGATTGTTTTTGATCGCCACAGTCCATTGTTAACATTTTCTTATCACTAATCAAAGCTGACTTTTGATCGCTTATTGTGCCTGTGTTGGGAGTTCGGGTCTATATAAACGCTGGACGGGCAGTGAGCTAGTCATTGAGAACTACAGCATCCCACAACTATGAAGCTGTTGATACTAATAGTCGCTATAGGCGCTGCCTTTGCCGGCCCAGGTACGTCAAGCATTTTAATACTTGAAATATCTCATGCTGCCACATTATGAGGATATTGAAGCTGTTAATTTTGATCGTCCTTGATTTTTTTATTTCGATATTTAGAATTTTCTTTTTTTCTGCGATTCTGCATTGGATTGACTAGGATATTACAATTTCTGCCAATTTACGCGATTATTTCAAATTCTTGCCGTGTATAGAGTGCTAAAATATTCACCTCAACTTATGCGCAACATTTCGGCTCCATTAGGATAGTTCCGCATAGCCAGATTTCTACTGCGATGGATGCTTCTTTGGAGCATCCTAACTGCATCAGTTCAAACAAAGGACAGTTTCATCGATGCTCTTTTGTTCGAAGACTCTAATTGAACACTGTGCAATGCGATCTGCCAGTGCATCGACTATGATCTTTTCTTTATATCAAAGTTAAAATTCGCGTTAAAACTATCGTTCATCCTTATAATTCAACTTGTCTTTTTTTTATTTTGCAGTTCCAAGCTCAAAATCATGTAACCGTAAGTAGAACACTATTTTTTTTACACCACCATTCTCCTCGAAGTTATTTCATTCTCCGTCTGTTTTCGATAATCTGCTTTGAGTGTAACTTAGTATGAATTTTTGAAGACGAAATTGCAAAGATTGTTAGCTGCCATCAGTTTGCAATCTTTAAAGCGGGGGTGCGGGGGGGGGGTGGAAGTTTCCCCATGTCGTAAACAACCCCATCCGTGCTAATTTGCATTGAATGGGATCTAGACTAATTTGCATATTCAATAAGAGATAAGAGGCGGCGAAGGCTTTGTCGTCCTTGGGAGTTGCCAAGTTAATTCTATTTCGTTCCCAAGTCCTTGACGGAAATTAAACAACACGCAATGGTTTATATGTAAAATGCATTTAGGCTTTTACAAGTGTTTTTTTTCAAATCACAAAATTCAATGCGCCTGTATTTCGGGTTGCTTTGTTACACAAGACCTGCTTATTGGTTACTAACTGAGAGATGATGATACGGACATCACTTCGACGTTAAAGTTCACAAGTTAAAGTTTACGTTAAAGTTTACTAAATTATAAATAAAAACATAAATATTTGTACCTTCACCAACTTGATCGCTAATAATAATTATAATGTATTTTCGGAAATTCCCAGTTTGATTTAGTATTTTGTTCACAACTTTAGCGAGCTCTGTGATTTACAGCGTTGTTATGGTACACGGTCATGTATGGAGTTACCCTGTCATCCAATCATATGCGTTTGACGTGACACGTAAACAAGTAACAATTCCAATATGCAAATGTTAATCGTGTGACGTTTCGGCTGTCAGTCATGTCTTATTTAAATATCCAACTTGTAAAAGCCAAGTATGTCTTAGGCATATTAGTGTATTGTTGATTCATTATTCATCACAAATTAAACAATAATAATATCTTCCTCTTTGTGTATTACTTTTTATAATATTGTTAATTATGTACTATTTCTGGAAATTAATTTCTCGCCTGAACGTCTTTGTATTTTGACGGCCAGTATTTCGCAACACCGAGTGAATCAATGATCAATGGAAAATAAACTGAACTCACACCACGTACTTTGCCTTATGGTAATGTCATCCCATTGTGTCAGGGGACTGAAAGACTTACCGCTTCGTGTTTCGCGTCTATTTCCGATCATGATATAAACTTATTCGTCATCTCAATATGCAACGCCCCTATATTTGGAATAAATAAATGGCGACACCCATTATATGTACTATCTTACATTAAAGAATTATTTCTGAATCATATTTATTTAATTCCTTATGGTTTGAATTTAATTTATTGATTTTATTTTCACAGAGAGATTTGAGGAGGGTCAGAAGTACTTCTACCAATATGAAGCTGACACAATGTCTGGCGTTGTTGGTACCTCCGAGAGGAGAAGCGGAATGAGAATTATCTGCGAGGTGGAGGTCGAAGTTCCAGATAAATATCAGCTTTCCGTGAATACACCCAAATGTGAACTTCTCGAACAGAATCCAGACTCTGAGGATCCATACTCCTTCAGAGTAGCACAGAATTCTCGCGAGTTCTCAAGGGAAATGTCACGTAACTCTCTCGTCGTTGAGGTGAACCAGGGTAGAATCAATCGCATCCAGCCACACGTTGAGGAGCCAGTACATATTCTGAACATCAAACGGGGTATCGTGTCTTCTCTTCAGCTGCCAAACGACGAAGACCTGAAGAACGACAGATTTCAGGCAACAAAGGACGTTCACGGAAACTGCACTGCCGAGGCTCAGATCTTGGAGATGAGTCGTCGTAACGACAACATCCGTAGAGTCAAGCTGGATAAGGATCTGTCCAACTGTTCTCGTTCCAACAAAACTTACAGCAGAGAATCTCCACTCTCACTACTGAGGAATATCGTAAGTATTTATTTGTTTTTCCACGTAAATTAATTTTTGAAGTTAATTAATTTAGTTATTAGTGATATCCAAATTGTGATAAATGTATTATATTTTTCGCATAATTATGCAATTTGTTACATGTTTGGTAATCTTATTATTATGTAAATATTATTCTCGTGAATGCGTTTTTCACGTGTCAGAATTCCTCAACTGACATCATATTTCGAGCTTATTCCTTAATTAAAAATATAGTTTAAATAAATTGCCTTTTTACGCGATGCGATGCTGGTTATTTCATAATAATCATCATCATGTGAATTATAGTATTTGTTTTTTTTCAAAAATCACCGACTGTTGGCGCTATAACACACCGTTTCTTGAGCTGGTATAGCGCCACCACACCACGCTATAAACTTCTTCTGGTTTGAATCTAATGAATTGAATTTATTATTATAACAGTCCGCTATTGAGAAGATGGTTAATTCCACCCAGAACTGCACGTATACAATGAGCTCAGCTTGTTACATCAAGGAAGTCAAATGTCAGGAAAGCCATACTTTCACACCTCTGTCATATAATAATTCTGGAGTGCAAACCAATATCAGCCAGGTTATGACCAGAACCAGAAGCCCAGAGAAGCTCAACCGTTTCGCTCGCAAACAGGATTGTAAGTGTTTTTACTGATTCTCCATTATAATACACGTTATATAACTTCAGATAAGAAAATATTGTAGTGAATTGACAGAGAACTATATAATTTATTTATATATTATTTTCCTTTATATTCACAGCCAGTAGAGTATACTCTGAGATCGCATATGAATTTGAAGTGGAACCAGAACCAACAAACACAACAATGAATACTACCCTGGAGGTGCTTTTCAATCTTGTCAACAAGACCGTCAATGAGACCTCTATCGATGCTCCACGTCTCTTCAACAACCTTGTTGCATCACTTCGTGCATTGGACAACCAGACCATCCACAACTTGCTTCCAGTTGCATGGAACTGCAGCCAGTATGGTAACTGCTCCAACAACCGTGAACAAGAACTCTCGAGATCCTACATGATTGATGCTCTTCCACAGTGCGGTACCTGGCCATGTATGTCCGTCATCGCATCTGCACTTATCAATAGTACCATCAATGGATCCCGCGCTGATGTCTTGCTTTATGCGTTGGCATTCGAACCAAATCCATCACTGCAGGTGATCAACGAGACTCTACGCATTGCTAGTGCCATCCGCAGCCGTCCAGCCATCCTTACACTCAGCACTCTGATCAATAATTACTATCAGAACAACGAGACTGCACAGAAGCAGAAGGAGGTGGGTACAAGAAGCAATTTATTTAGTCCTATACACACTGTTTCATGAAAGCTTAATTGTTTTTTTTAATATAAAATGATTATAATTGTTTTATAAATTTCAAATGAGAGTTTAAAACAATTTTACCGTTCACAACAGTCTTCATGGCCAGTAAAAGATCCATACATATTTTTTAACCTTCTATAAAAGACGTTCACGCATTCATGAATCGGAAAGTAGTACTGTCATTCATTTACTTGCCAACAATAGACAAATTATATAATTTTTATATTTTTTCCCCCAAAGCTGCCAGAACCAGTCCGCAAATCAATTCACCTTATGCGTGAAATTATTGGAGATGACTGCAACAAAGTCAGCAATGACATTCAATACGACGAGGCTGAAAACAACCGTCAAGTTCTGCTTGCACTGAAGGGTATTGGAAATATTGGAAGACCAGTACAGATCGAAGACAAACGTGAATGGTACCGCCAGTCTACCATTGTCGCCATTTTGATGCGTTGTGCCAAAAACCAAGCTGTTCCACGCAATGTTACCATTGCTGCCGTCCAAGCTTTGCGCCGTATGGAGAGTACTGATGAATTACGTGATGATCTGATGAGTCTGGTAAGAGATCACAGCAACGATGTCGAAGTACGCCTTGCTGCTTATATCATTCTGATGAAAAACCCATCCAGAAATAACCTGCGTGAAGTTGTCAGTATTCTGAAAAATGAACCAATCAACCAGATGCGTTCTTTCATTTCTTCCCATATTGCCAACATCAGGGAATCTGAGGAACCAACATTGAAAGAGTAAGTTTTTTTTCTGTCACTTTTGAACTAAATGTAGTTCACTTTGATATACTGTCGATCATTAATTATTATTATTATTATTGGGTTATTATGATTGAGAATTATGAGAATTGCTCTAAATAAAAACGAGTGAGCATGTAGAAATACAATAGAGCATATTTTTCATTAGAATTCTAAACACAATGAATAAAATAAAATATAAATATATTAAAATTAAATAACATAGAAAAAATACTTTATGGTAACATATGTTTGTTGACACTCAAATATGAATCATTTATTCATATATTATTCATAACCAAGTTTGATTCATTTTTTTCAGTTTGAAAAAAGAACTTGAATTTGTCCTTGTTGGCCAACAACTTCCAGAGATGGAACAAGACCTGCAAAAGCTCTCCCGCCATATGGAATTTTCAAAAGCTTTCAAAGTTCCATTTGTGAACCAGACTGTTGCCGCACAACTAGAAAGCAACTTGATCTACAGCCCAGAAGGTATCCTGCCACGCTCTCTGATGCTCAACATGACTGTCAATATTCTCGGAAAATCTGTTAATGTGTTTGAAGTGAGTATATGGTTATTTTGTTTTTGCTAATTTCACAAAAAACAATGTTTGAAATATTGAATGCAAGTAATCAAGCATTTTTTGAATCTTAGATTCAATCATAACTTTTATGTTTATGCATTTATTCTAATCCATAGACTGGCTTTGATGCTGAAGGTCTTGAACCATTATTGGAAGGACTCTTTGGACCTCAAGGTTATTTCCCCAACCTGAACCTGATTGCTCTCTTCAATAACATGACTGGAAATCTTGATTATCTTAACCCCAGACAAGAACCAGTGAAGAACAACGCATACAGCAAATTTAATAGCAAGATCCAGAAGTCTAAAAATGCTGTTGAAGAACCAAGATTCCTGGCCAATAAGATCCACAAAGCTTTGGAAGATCTTCATGATGATGTGAGCCACAAACAGCTCTCACCATCTGTATCAGCTTACATCAAGGTTCTTGGTAATGAGCTTGGATTTGCCAATTTGGATGACATTAAGAACCTGATGCCCAACATTTCTGTCAGTGATCTCCCATCTATGTCTGCTATCATGAAGCTTTTGGCTGATGGTATCGACTACAATGTCACCCGCAGCTACATGTTTTTGGAAGCCAACCATGTCATCCCTACTGGTATGGGTCTGCCATTGAATGTATCTGTCAATGGAACTACCGTTGTAGCTCTTAGAATTGCTGGTAAATTCGACATGCGCAAGTATCTGCAACAGGATGTTGTTGCCAGTGGTCTGGTGTCCCCAAGTGCTGCTGTAGAAATTGTTGGTCGCTTTGGAGTTAACGTACCACTGTTTGGTGAATCTGGAGTCCAACTGAATGCCACTATGTACCACAACTCCCAACTGGAAGGTAATGTTACATTGAAGGGAAGTGAACTGAGATTCAATGTTAACAAGACCCTCAAACCAATAAACTTAGTCAACATCAGTGCTGAACAATACCTGGTTCGTGGAGCAAGAATTGAACGTCTTGAAGGAATCAAAGAAAACCGCACTGAATGGAGCAACTGCACCAGTAGTCTTCTCAACACAACAGCACTATTTGGTCTTGACCTGTGTACCAGCCTGTCCTACAGCAATGCTAGCAATGTGACTGCACCACGCTTCCCACTGACTGGTCCAACCAGCTTTAATCTTACTGTAAACCCAACTGACAAGAACCTCACAACCTACACCGTGCTGATGAAGTATGAACAGATCAAGAAACCAATTGGTGCACAGAAACAACCATCTCGCAAAGTGTTCAAGCTTCGCAAGGAAAAGCCAATTGTTGAAATCATTGATGTCTTCACAATCAATTTCACTGCTCCAGGTACATTGACTTTGTTAAAGTAACTAACACTATTCACTTCTAATTGCCATAACAATCTTATCAAAGTAAAATTCATATATTTGATTTTTTTTTATTTATTCACAACAGGACAAAACCTGACCCGCAATGTGTCATCTCAACTTACCATCAACCGTAACAAGACTGAAGCTGTATGGAACTTCACCATTCCTGAGCTGAAGAATATTTCCATCGCTGCAGGTGTACAGAATATTTCTGAACCTGAGAGAAATGTCACCAACTTTGTCGCCAGCTTCAATGCTACCTATGGAAGCAAGAACTTCAGCAACTCCCTGCGTGTTCGTAATGAAACCCTTAATCTTACCCGTGTTGAAAATGGAAGAGAAATTATTATTCCTGTGAACAACTATTCCATGGCCTGGAACATTTCATTGAATGACCTGTTCTTCTGTGTCCAGAGTGATGTTGTCAACAAAACTGGTAACTGGAGCTCAAGCTTCAATGTCACCTACTACTGGGATGACCAAACACCAATGATGGATCAACTGAGACCAGAATACGTCATCAAGCCAGAAAACTACAGCAAATTCGAAGTCCTCTTTGAGCATGTTAACAAGTCCCTTTCCAATGAAACTCTGCTGGAGAGCAGACTTAACTTCACCTTCGGACGTCAAAACATATCTCTGATTCTCAGCCGCTGGAACAACACTCAAAATGCAACCAAAGCTATGAATGTTTCTTGGGTAAATAGTGGCGAACTCCGCACAATGAATGTCACCTATGAATACAAGAACAGATCTTCACCAGTTGTGGAGTCCATCCAGAGAGTATGGAACATGTCTCTTCCAGAATGGCACATGGCCTTAGTCAACGAAGTTGTCAACACATCAAGAGAGTTCAACACAAGCATGAACTTCACTATCTATAGCCAAAACAAGACCCTGAAGGAAGAATATAAACGTTATGATGAACATGTTCGCAATAAGCTCATTGGTAAGTACAACTGGAGTACTTAGTATGATGGAGACTTCTTAATATATGTTTTTTGAAATGAAATATTTGGTGATGTTATATAACAATCATAATAACATGCTCACTTGATTGTTACTATTGCAGAGTACTATGGTGTTGAGGCATACAAAGTTGTTCCAGACTGGTACAATGCTAGTATGACATTCAGCATTCGCAATGAGACTGTACCAAGCAGCAGACCATACGCAGAAGTTATTGCCACCAGCTTCAATGTCAGTGTAATGAACCCATTCAACAAGACAAGTATACATAACTTCACCATGGTTGGTAAACTTGTCAATGATAGTGCCATCAACAATGCCAACTTCAGCTACTGGGCCAATGTGAATGTATCTTTGCCATTTGTCAGTGTAAGTATACACTAAAATGTCCAATTGTATCATTATAAATTATTAAAGTCACTATAATACATCATCTTTAACCATTTCTTTGTATTGAATCCTATTTGTTTAATTGTTTTTACAGTCCAATGTCAGCATGAATATGTCCGTTTTGAACAACACCAATGGAGTTGCTGTATCATACAATGTTAGTGGACTGAGTTCAAATATCAGCTCTGTGCTAAACTACACCCATTCCTCCATGAACATGAGCCTGGTTTTCAACCTGACCAGTCCAGTTTACAACTATACTTCAAACCACACCATTTACAACAGCACCGAGTCTGGTATGGTCTACCTGTATAACTGCAGTGGCAGCACCAACTACACTCTACCAATTCAGAATTTCACTCTCCCAGAGATCGACAGACTTCTTGAGCTGATTCCACAACAGGTTTTCAACTGGACAGACCAACTCAGAAATGTTAGTGCAAGACTGAATGTGACTCTGCCTTATAATCTGACCATTCCAAGTATTGTTGGCAACATATCACTTCCATTCTTCAACATCAGTGTTCCACTGAATAGGACATTGCAACTGCTGAACCACACATTTTCTTGTAAGTATAATTGTCATTATGAATCTAAATGATATTTAGTTGAATATTGTTACATTATGTGATAAATGTGTCAACATTATTAGTCAAATCAGAATATTATACATTTTTTCAAAACTTATGATTCTTTATATTTTATCTTTCAGCAAACATCACCATTAGACCTGAAAATATTAGCATTTCTGTGAATGCCAGCCATCCATTCTTTGTCCTCAATGTAACCCAAGAAATTATCAAAGATGGTCCATTGGTCAACATGTCATTGTCCAAGATGCTGAATTCCACCGTTGGTGAACTTTGGAGAATTGCTAACACCACTACCAACAAGACCATGTCTGCCTGGAACAAGACTATGTCTCTTGTCAAGGGTTACAACATGACCAACCTGAATTTGACTGGAGTGAAGAAGAACCTTGATTGGTACAAACAGCGTGTAGAGAGCTACCTTAGCCCAATGAACATTTCCTTCTTGAATGAGAAAATCTGGAAACCGATCAGGCAGATGAATGCACCTGAATTGAAGGCTCTGAGAGAACCACTGCGTGAAATCAGCAGAGAACTTCCCAAAATGGTTGATGAATTGACCCCAGACGTGGTTAAGGATTGGGTTTACTATGGTAAAGATATGGTTTATGCATACACTCCATCATGGCAAAATCTGACTTCCTGGAACCTAACATCCTGGAACCTGACATCTTGGCAGAACATTACATCACTCAACATGAGCGATTTCTGGAGTGTGACAAACAGCAGCCTCTCAGTGATCAAGAACAAGGAGATCAGAGAATCTGTTCAGAGAATGGTCAATGCCACAGTCAACTCCACTTTGGCTGGTTGGGCACCAGTATCAGAAGTTATTTACCAGGTCCTCAACTCCAGCATGAATGCCACCACCTTTGTGAATTTCACCAGTCAATACTTTGGCAACATCACTGTCAACCATACAATGCAGCTTAACAGCAGCCAGATGAACCATACCCTGTACATGAACATGACCAGCAAGCCTGCCAATCTGACAGTCAATGGTACCTTCCTTATTGCCTACAACAGCAGTTTGGAACCAAACTCCACCCTGGTTAACAGTACCCTGTTTGTGAATATGTCTGGTCCAATTGCCAATCTGACCCTTAACAACACTTTCTACTTCAGTAGCAACAGCAGTTTGGAGCCAAACAGCACTGTTATGAATCATACATTGTTCACAAATCTGACTAGTTGGTGGGCCAACATGACTCTCAACCACACTATTTACCTGAGCAGCAACTGCAGCCTGGAACCAAACAGCACAGTTTTGAATCACACCTTATATACCAACCTGACTAGTATCCTGGCCAATTTTACTGCAAACCACACTCTGTACATCAGCTCTAATAGCAGCCTGGAGCCAAACAGCACTGTGATGAACCAAACTCTGTTTGCAAATCTGACCAGTTGGTGGGCCAATATGACCTTAAACAATACTTTCTACTTCAGCAGCAATTGCAGTCTAGAACCAAACAGCACTGTTATGAACCACACCCTGTCTAGCAATCTGACCAGTTGGTGGGCTAACATGACCTTCAATCATACTCTGTATTTTAGCAGCAACAGCAGTCTCGAGCCAAACAGCACTGTTCTGAACCACACCCTGTCTAGTAATCTGACCAGTTGGTGGGCTAACATGACCTTCAACCATACTCTGTATGTAAGCAGCAATTGCAGCCTGGAGCCTAACAGCACTGTCCTGAACCACACTCTGTATACAAATATGACTAGTTGGATTGCCAATCTGACTCTCAACCACACGTTGTATATAAGCAGCAACTGCTCACTGGAACCAAATAGCTCTGTCATGAATCACACTTTGTCAGCCAACCTCACATCTCCCTGGGTGAATGGTAGCATGAATCATACCTTGTATGTTAGCTCCAACAGCAGTCTTGAACCAAACAGCTCTGTCATCAAGCACTGGTTCTTGGGTAACTTCAGTTGTTCATGGGTCAATGCTAGTGTAAACCATACCCTGTACATCAGCAGCAACAGCTCATTGGAACCAAATAGCACCGTGATGAACCACACTCTTCAAGCAAATGTCACATCTTGGCTTGCCAATGTTACCATCGACCACGATTTGAGACTTAGCTCCAACAGCTCTTTGGTGCCAAACACTACAGTGTTTAACCACACCTTGTTCATCAATTTCACCTGCCCAATTGCCAATGTTACATTGAATGCCACCATTGAAGCACTCAACCTGACTGTGTACAACCAGACGATATTTGTTAACTTCACTGGACCTCTCCTGAATATCAGTGTAAACCAAACCATCAGAAATGAAAGTTTCAGCGTTAATGTCACTGCTCCTGGATATGGTTGCCTCAGCCTTGTTGGTCAATTGAAAAATGATAGTGTACTCAACGTTTCAGTCATTCATCAAAATTCCTCTCATCCACACATCAATGTGACTGACCTCAACCTGTTTATATCCCTGAACAGAAGTGATGTTATCTATGCCAACCTTACATGGCATCCACGCATTCTGAACCACACACTCAGCTTCCTGAATACCAGTATCTCCATGGCCAACACTACCATCAACAGAACCATTGATCTGTTTGTGAAGCCAGCAGTGAATGAAATCCTCAACGTCTCAATGAACTACACCATGAGAGTATGGGAGGTCGTGAAGAACATCACACACAATGAAACTAGTCTCATCAACCAGATTATCCGTGAATTCACTCCACTGAACTGCACTGTATTTGAGCTGGTTAACTACACCGTCTCTAACTTCACCCAGATTGCCAACAGAACCATCAATATGACCATTGAATTTGCCAAGAACCTCACAAGAGAAACCCCCCTTGTCAACTGGACCAACTTTGCCATCAACGTGACAAACAACTTCACTGGATCAGTTCAAGAGGTATACAATATTAGCATGGCATACTTGAATAACACCCTTCCAGGATGGATGTACCGTTATTATGAAGTAGATCGTCAACTGAACCAACTGAGCAATCTTAGCCAATATGAACAAATGGTGTTGCAGGTATGGAATGAAACTGAGAAGGTTGTACCACAAGTCGCTAGATATGTAGCCAACAAAGCCCTTGATAAAATTGTTGTATTTGGTAACAACAGTGTTGCAGTCAACATCTCACACAATCTCAACGTGACCAGTCTGAAGAGCTTACCAAGTCTAACCAATAACCAATGGGAGGTCCTCAAGACACAATACAATCTTATTAAGACCATGCTGAAGAGAGTACCATACATGAGTAGACATCTTCGCTTGCCATCTGTTGATCCATTTGTACAATCTGCTATGCTCTTTGGTGCAGGTCATGTATACACATTTGATGGACGTTACTATGAAGTGCCAAGATATGAAAACCGTGAATGCACATATGTGCTGGCCCGTGACTTTGTAGACAGGAACTTCACCCTTCTGTCAACTGAAGATTCCATTACCTTAATCACCCGTGATGTTGCAGTAGAAATTGATGCCGAAAATATTGTTAAGATTAATGGCAATCCTTCAGCAACTGAACTCCCATACCAAACTGAGAACAAGAATGTCACTGTTATGCGTAATGGAGATTGGGTGAATGTGACTACAGTATATGGCATCTCTCTGCTCTGTGACTCCAAGAACCTGAACTGCCTGGTAAATATCAGTGGATGGTATCATAATAAAACCCTTGGTCTCTTTGGAACCAATGACAATGAAGCTAACAATGACTGGCGTAAACGTGATGGCAGCAATGCAACAAATGTTGTCGATTTCATCAATTCCTTTGAAGTGTCTGGACTTAGAAGCTGCAAGAAGAACCCAAGCCGTTATGTGAATACAATTGGCCGTGATGAAGCTTCATGTAACAGCCCAGTTTCTCCTATGTGCGATATCCTCTTCAAATCCAAACAATCACCATTCGAGCCATGCTTCAGCAAGGTTAACCCAGAACCATTCAGACAAGCCTGCTTGGTTGACTCCCCAAAATGCGACGCTAGACAGGTGAGAGGTATCTGCTACAGCACAGCCGCTTATGTTGCCATCTGCAATGCCAAGGGTGTAAAGGTCAATGACACCAATGAATGCGAAACCTGTGAAGATAACAACCGCCAACGATCCCAGAATGAAGCTTGGATAGAAGACAATAAGCTCACTGCTGATGTCGTCTTTGTTGTATCTGAGAGTTCAAAAATGTCAAACTCCCGCAAAGATCAACTGGAAATTCTGGTCAGAGAAATAGAGAGTGAGCTGAAGAGAAGTGGTATCAATGACAACCGTTATGCACTTGTTGGATTTGGTGGTAAAGGAATCCATGCTCCAGGTCACCAGCACACAATCAATGGAAAACTCTACAACTCTGACAAATTGTTCTACAGTGGTGCCAAGGCTCTTGAATTCCAAGGTGAATATGCTACTGATGCCTTTGAAGCAGTCAAGATTGCTGCTGAGTTACCATTCCGCCCACAAGCAACCCGCCTGGTCTTCTTGGTCACCGAATCTGAACGCTCTGTAAGTATTACTTTTGGAAAAATTTATCTAATAAAAAAATGATACATAAATCGGAAAAGCTGAATGATAATTTTAAAATTAAATTATAACTTTGATCAAGAAATAATGAATCATTATTTTTACATTTTCCCATAGGCTGTTAATGTGTCATTGACGATAGACGATATCCAGAGCATCCTAGACAAACATGCAGTCATTTTGAACGTACTTGCCGAATACGATGAGCTCAGCAAAAATGGTGTATATGGAGTTAACTTCAGAGGAGATTACATCACTGGAAAGTATGATGATATTAAGAAGGGTAGTCTTAAACTTCGTAGCAGAATTGGTGAAAGCTATGCCAAATTGTCTTCAACAACAAGAGGTACGTAGAAGTAGTATATACAGTCGGGTTATAACATGGGACAATCAAATGAAGCAAGAACTTTTTACTTTTTAGATTACCTAAAAATTATAGTGTTCACCAGTTTCTCATAATGTGATTTTTAATTCACTTTCAGGATCCCTCTACTCACTGGAAAAGGTCGAGCATTACGACTTCCTTAACAAGATCCCAGAAGATGTCGCTCGCCAAGTTAAAAGTGAGGTCAGAAATGCCAAGAAAGTGTGCGAGTGTGTAAGGAATGCCTATGGACGCGCTGTCACCGAGTGCAGAAGTATGCGTACTTAGATCTTAACATATCAAAAAAAAAACTAAATCCATTATGATATCTTTTGTGGATAACTGTTTGACCAACTTATTTTAAAAAAAAAATCAGTAGTAATCTTTTGTTTTACTCACGCTTTTCGATTTTAAATTGTTTTTATTTTATTTTATTTTATTTTCAAGTTCTCTCTCGAATAAAAATTATATTTTAAAGCACTGAATTACAACTGACATTACTGTGTACTTTTGAAGACTAGACTCCCGCCATTTTCATTACCAAACTTGTTTATATATTTGTTGTATTTATATCGCATTTCTTTGTGAAAGCCTGTAGTAACTTAACAATTAGGCTTAGCAATTAGAATAAAATGGCGGGGTTCTTAAATCTAGTGTCTATGTGTGTCTGTATCAACCCATGGAATTTTAAAGGTTCCCTGATCAAAAAAATAATTTGGCACTAAGCAATTACTTTTGGATCGCAAACGCCACTTTATTTCAATCTGGCCCCTCATCAAATCCTATTCTGTCCCATCAGCTGAACTCGTCAAGCCCTGCCCCCATCGCCTTCCCTTATCCAACCTAGTTTCTCGGCTGGATCCAGCCTTAATCAAGTTGGGCTCCCTCCCACCTGGATTACTAGCCCTACCCGACTCCCATCATGTCTTCAACCTGGTTCGTTTGGACTATTAACTGGAACCACCCTTGACTAACCTGGACCCTCGCCTCGCCTAACTCTTACTCTACTCGCTTAGTCCCACTTCGATTTCCATACAACTCCAACCTGATTCTCATTTAGACTTGTGAATGACTCTTATCTATACTATCACCTGCCTTCCATCAACATTCTCACCTGACCCCCATCTACATTCTCACCTGTCTTCATATACACTCTCATTTCACTCCCATCTACACTCTCATCTGACTACCTTCCTACATTCACCTGATACCCATTTAGACTCGTGCCGGACTCTATCTCTTCTATACTCGCCAGACTCTCATCTACACTATCTCCTGACTCCCATCAAGATTCTCACCTGTCTCCCATCTACATTCTCACCTGTCTCCCATCTACACTTTCTTCTACACTCGCCTGATACCCACTTTGACTCGTGTCTGACTCTCGTCTACACTATCACCTGACTCCCATCAACATTCGCATCTGTCTCCCATCTACATTCTCACCTGTCTTCCATCTACATTCTCAAATGTCTCCCATCTACACTCTCATATGACTGTCTTCTACACTTGCCTGATACCCACTTTGACTCGTGTCTGATTCTCATCTACACTATCACCTGACTCCCATCTACATTCTCCTGTCTCCCATTAACATTCTCCCCTGTCTCCCATCAACATTCTCACCTGTCTCCCATCTACATTCTCATCTGTCTCCCATCTACATTCTCACCTGTCTCCCATCTACACTCTCATCTGACTGTCTTTTACACTCGCCTGATACCCACTTTGACTCGTGTCTGACTCTCATCTACACTATCACCCTGTCTCCCATCAACATCCTCACCTGTCTCCCATCAACACTCTCATTTGACTTTCTTATACACTCGCCTATATCCATTTTGACTCGTGTCTGACTCTCATCTACACTCTCACCTAACTCACATCTACACTGTCATCTGACTCCCATCTACACTCATCTCCCGTCTCCAATCTGACGTCTAACTGAATTCCACAATATTTCAGTCAACTCTTAACCTGACCCTAGTCACATGACCCAACCACCAATGATTGGCGTTCCATGCGTATAACTTTAAATATTAGAGATTGGACCGTGCCGCCTTAACTCCAAGTTAATCGCCCTATTCGTACACACAACTGTTACTCACGTAAAATATTGTGATACTAAAAAAAACTGTTCCCGTGTTTTTGTACTGCATGGTTCGTCATAACTTAACTGAAGCACGTGTAGTTTCATTTCCTCCTGGAACATTTCGATCTGTTATTTTTGAACACTAACATTATATCCCCCAATGTTTAGTATTCAAAACAAACAGATTTTAAAGACCTAAACTGAAAATAAAAATGAAAAAAACCTCCCCTACTTGTATCCGATATATACGGGATTGATACTGTATTCAATTGATTTTGACTCCACCGTCCATCCTACAGTGATTTTATTCATAGTACAAGCTACATTTATACTACTTGGGAGCAATTATAATTATATCATCTCTACTACGAGGGAATCAATTTGAATGGCTGAGAGAATAGTTTTATTCATGCAAGACGGTCTTATTTTTTTTTACTATAAAATCATTTTGTAAAAGGGTGGTGGTCGTCGTACGCGTCGTGTTCGATGCGGGTCCCATGTTACGTACATAA